AAGTTGGAAACCAAAGTGCTGACCCAGGTGCAAGAACAGATATTGCTTTAACAACTGCAATGAAACATGCAGATACTATGTTTGTACTGTTCAAGACGAACTATAAATGACTATTCTTGTTTCTACAACCCCGGTATTAAATATCATATAAACATAGATGGCAAATACTATCCAAGAGAAGAATATTCTACAGTTGAGGATATGAGGTCATACAACTTGACATTAGATGCTATGAACTTTAACAACAACTTCACAACAACCATTAACCCTGAAATGCAAAGTTCTATTATGCCATATGTGAAAGTATGGACTCATACAGGAGGTCAAAACACTCAATACAAATGGAGACCGTTCAAACTTTTGGCTTGGCATTCCATTTGCTGACTCAGAAGACTTTATGGTGGTATTTCAACTGTTGGTACAGTTCAAATACAATATACTGGTGACAGAGACGGTCCAGATGAATTGAAAGCAAAGAAGTTTACAAAACCATAGCACTTTTCACAGAAGATGCTCTTTTGAAGATTCGTTCGATGAAACCTGCTGGGGCTCCTCAGATTGGTATAACGACAGCTTCCATCGAGCAGATTTTGGCAGCAGGTCAGTAAGTTGTTCTTGAACTGACTTTCTCTCGTCAAAATTGACAGTACGCCAGTTTTGATATAATATTGTATTATAAACTTACCTTTAGAAATATCGGTCAGTTTTTGTTGTTATATTTTTGTCTGCTTCAAGAACTTTCACCATTTCAGTTATACCAACTTTCTTTGCTTTATGAAAATATTTTGGTTTCAGCAAATATTGCTATTCTATAACATTTTCCATTGTTTGTGTAAAGAACTACTCTGTCAATGAACTTGTATTGTTTGTGTGTGTAAACTTTGTTTTGCTTCAATTCGAAGAGATACTCAAATACGTCCATCTTTTATTCTAAGTAAAATGTCATTTCCGAAAAATAGAAGCGTAAGTGTTTCAAAAGGTTTAATGGCGATGGCAGATGGAAGTTAAATCACACAACTCAAACAAACAGTCAAAGTGTTGTTGTCAATGTCAAAGACAGAGATGTTGAAGTGGGAAACCATACGAAGACGAAGATGGTATAACAATAGTTCCTGTAAAAGAAAACAACCAACATATCCGAAGTTAGCAGAGACTTAAGTTCTGTTGCAGATATTCGAAACGACTACCAACAACTTAAAGACAAACTTAAACTCAGGAGAAGATTTGTCAGGCTTTGGGTATAATGTTAAACTTGGTTGAGCACAACCCTGTAAAAGTGAACTCATATGTCATCGCACCTCAGAAATTTTGAAAGAACTATTGAAACTTTTGACAGAGGCAGACGATATAAACATCAAAGAAATAGAACCCGACATTGCTTGCTGTGGTGTTTCATATAATTCATTGACAAGATATACGTTATGAAAGGAGGTGAAACGTTGAACTTAAAATATAGTTTCCCAGACGTCATAAAATATTTGACGACCACAACATTTCATTAAAGTTTGTTTGCTAAGTAAAAATGGCAGAAGACATAGTGGTTTATACTATTACGACTAAAAACCCTGAAGTCATATAATTCTATAACAACAAACTTACAAAGTCCTCAAGGACGATATTGTAAACTGACCTTAAACACGATGACGACTAAAGCCTGTTTTGCTCTTTTGACACCAGAAGACTTTGTTGTGAATGGTAAAAAATACTTCTTTGAAGAACTTACTCAGATATACCACCAACAGGTTTTGTTGACTTATTTAATACTTTAAGGACGGATGTAACATGTGCTGCAACTAGAGCAGGTTTCATTATGTTTGGATGTCCGACTGAGTTTAGTATAAACGATATGAGCTATAATACAAACTTATATCTGGTTTTTACTACCAACAGTTCTAGATCTTTGTATAAACTTTCCATTATGCTTGTAGTCATAAGCTCAAAACTAATCTTTAGCCCTTCTCCCCCGTATCTGATAAGGAATGTATTTTTCACGAGGAACGAAAGAACAAATTCTTGAACTCATGACCGTTGTAGTTGTTATCATCAATAGGTTTCTCATTTATATAAAAATAAACTTTAAAAATTAGAATGATAGTCAAACACCCTCACACGTATGGAAACATAGGCAAAATAAATTTTAGGTGAAGTGATGAAATCTCACTCTCTTTTTTCCACCTCTTTTTTCACCACCTTGAATTCATTACTTTAATAACTCTCTTCCTTGGTTTCTTTTTAGTTGCTTTCTTCACGTCTGTCTCCACTTGACTGTCTTTCTTCTTCGTCGTAATGATACCAGTTACTTCCAACCATCAATGGGTCAAATGTCTTTCGTAAGGGTTTCCATACATTCCAATAGGGACATACGGAAGAATCTGGTGGAGAGAAACAGTTCCCATCGATCTATTTAAATGCATTGTTTCACCTTTCATCTGAGTCATTAAAGTCTTTGCTGTTTTGCAAACTCATCGTCCTTTCCTAAAGCATTTTCTGACTCAGTCCAACCAAATTGGATGCTTTATTTATGAGCCCTATTTTATTTAATCTTTAACTTCTTTGCAACCCAGCCTCCAATCTTCCTTTATTTGCATCTAATGTCTCGAACTCTTCCTCCATCATTTTATTTACTGCGTCATAAGCCCCAAGTGCTTTTTGCTCCAAATGCTAATGCTTTGTTCCCATTGCGCCTAAAGCTGCCCAAGCTACCATTTACACCAATATTAAAATCATCTCTCTTCATATTATCCATAAAAGTTCTCTTATGGAGAAGTCAATGAAACATAAACATTCTCGGGCTTCGTCCTCCCGGCTTTGCGGTCTATCTAAACTTCTTTCTTATTCATCTAATTGCTTCAATGTCTGAACAATTCAACATCTTCTACAACAGTTATTTCATCATGAATGACCTTCAAGAACAGCTCATTTAATATGCATTAAAATCATCTCAATAATTGAGTCCATCCTTTCCATCTTTAGGTAGCACAACATCTTTCATTGAAGAAGGTTCGACAAGTCTTATGTTAAACTTACTGAAAAGTTTGTTAAACTATAATGCTTTGGGCGGCGAATACATGTATTTGAAAGACATAATATAGATTCTTCAGCAAATTCACTTATACTGGATTTTATAAC